TTTGGTGGTCTCAATACTGGGGAGAGCAATCATGCAGCGTACATAATACATTTAAGTAGTTTGGATAAGACTTATCATTGTAATTTCCGTACTTTGGACCAGGATACAATTTGTGGAGGTATTGTAGCGGTAGATTCAAGAGCCAGCAAAGGGGAGATGTTTGATGCGGGTATCATTCTGAACGATCGTAATCTAGGAAAAATCGAGGTTTTAATAGGTGCTGATGTAGCTGGTAAGTTGCTGACAGGTAAAATTGTTCAACTTTCTTCAGGATTAACGGCGGTAGAAACTTACTTGGGATGGACCTTGATAGGCAAATATCATGAAAACAGGGAAATTCATGCATTCAGTGCTTCTATGTTAGTTAGCTCAATGGTTGTGAATGAGATGAATATAAGAGATTTGTGGGAACTGGATGTGTTAGGTATCAAGGATCCCTTCGATAGTAAATCGAAAGTTGCTATTGAACAGGAAGTGTGGAAGCATTTCAGAGATACTGTGAATATAAAATCAGATGGGAGATATATTGTTCATTTACCATGGATCGGAGGACACCCACCTCTTCCTACGAATTTTAATTTAGCTGTTCAGAGACTCGAGGCCACAATTAAAAAACTTAGGAAGGATGAATGTTATTCACAGTATGAAAATGTATTCAATGAGTGGATGTCTGAAGGTATTATTGAGGAAATATCATACGATGAATCTGATATAAATGGTCATTTTCTACCACACAGACATGTATTGAAACCTAGTAGTGCTACCACGAAAATAAGGCCAGTTTTCGATGCTTCCGCTCACGGAAACGGGTGTCCTTCTCTGAATAGTTGTTTGGAAAAAGGTGTTAACTTGATTGAACAAATTCCTTCAATTTTATTCCGTTTCAGAATCAAAAAGGTTGGTGTCATCTCTGATATACGTAAAGCATTTTTGCAGATAGAGTTACAAGAATCGGATCGCAATTTCTTGAAGTTCTTATGGAAGGACAGTGAAGGAAATCTGAAAGTCTATAGGCATTGCCGGGTTGTTTTCGGAGTCACCAGTAGTCCTTTCCTCCTGGGAGCTGTCATTCAACATCACTTGGAGAGAACATTAGAAAGTTCTCGAAGGGGAGATAATACATTCTCTGGTAAGGTGATCGAACAGCTCAAGAGCAGTTTCTACGTTGATAATTGTGTGACGAGTGTCGATAGTGAGATAGAACTGTATCAGTTTATTGAAGAGGCTCGGAAAGTCATGAGTAAAGCTTGTTTTGATCTTAGATGCTGGGAATATAGTAGTCTTCAGTGGCCTAGCGGAGAGAATGAGGTATCTAGTGTCTTAGGTCTACAATGGAATCGACGAGAGGATAGTTTGTTCATTTGCTCTGATAATTTGAAGAATTTGGAATTCGATAAAGTTACAAAAAGAACATTATTATCTGTTTCTCATAGGATTTTTGACCCTGTAGGTTTCACTTGTCCCGTCACTTTATATCCGAAGATATTGATGCAACAGACATGGGAATCCAAGTTACGCTGGGAGGATGAGTTAGATGAGAATATGAAGGTTGATTTTCTGAAATGGGTTGAGAGTCTCTCTTATTTGAGTGAAATAAAAATTCCCAGATATTTTTCATCATCCTGTACTGGCAGTGCACTTCATGTCAGTGTACATACTTTTTGTGATGCCAGTAAGTTGTCATATGCAGCAGCCTCTTTCTTCAGAATCGAGAGTGAATTGGGTGTAGGGGTGCAACTGATACAAGCTAGGTCTAGGGTTGCCCCAGTGAAAAAGATGACTATACCGCGTCTTGAATTATTAGCTGCTACTATTGGATCTCGTTTGGTTAAATCTATATCGGAATCGTATCCGCTTTCCAATGTTGAGTTTTTCTATTGGTCGGACTCTTCGACAGTCTTAGCATGGATAAAATCTGACGATCAATGGGCTGTTTTTGTTCGAAATAGGGTTGATGAAATTTTGAAGCTCACTACAAAGGAACAATGGAGATTCGTTCCAGGTATTATGAATCCTGCTGATCTACCATCTAGAGGGTGTTCCGCGAAGAAGTTATTAGAATCTAGATGGTGGGAGGGTCCTGATTGGCTGAAAAGTTCATCTAACCTCTGGCCTAGTAACGTGACCTGCTATGATGATGAGGAAATTGCTAGGGAGAAAAGGAAAACTGTGACGTCTTGTGTAAACCATTCGAGTACTATGGAAATCGATTACTATTTTTCAAGATACAGTAGAATTATTCGAATGATGAGTTGGGTTCGACGTTTCATTTATAATTGTAGGAATCATGGAAAACATCTTTCAGGTGAATTGTCCAGTTTTGAGGTCAGGGAAACGGAGTTTGTGATATTGAAACTGATACAACGTGAATCCTTTCCGCAAGGAGAACGAGAAAAGTCAATTGTTGGTTTGTGTCCCTATATAGATGATTTGGGTATACTGAGGGTGAGGACCAAGTTGACTTATCGTACAGATGATATAGATTTTCGTCATCCAATTCTGCTGCCTGCAAAACACTCTCTCGTAGACAAACTCATAAGGGAAGAACACGAAAAGGCTTGTCATGTAGGTGTACAAGGTTTGTTGAGTCTCATAAGAGAAAGATTTTGGATTCTAGGTGGTCGAAGAACAATTCGATCTGTGGTTTCAAAATGTGTTCGTTGCAAAAGGTACGCAGTTAGTAGTCTAAAGTCTTCTCCAATTGGCCTTCCTCAAAATCGTGTGAGAGATGCTGCAGCATTTGAAGTTGTGGGGATCGACCTTGCTGGTCCGTTATTTCTCAAGAGGCAACAGAAAGTATGGATAGCACTGTTCACATGTGGGGTGTATAGAGCAGTGCATTTAGAGATATTGTCATCACTTTCTACCGAAATTTTTATACAGGGTTTTCGTCGATTCATTGCCAGAAGGGGTCGACCTGCAGTTGTCTATAGCGATAATGGCTCGAATTTTAAAGGAACTGATAATGCTTTCAGGAAATTAGATTGGGATCAGATAGCTAAATATAGCACTGCAGAGAGGATTGACTGGAAATTCAATCCGCCAACCGCTGCCTGGTGGGGTGGTTGGTGGGAGCGGTTGATTCGTTTGTTGAAGCAATTGTTACGTCGAGTTTTTGGGAAGAGCATGTCTGAATTATGAGGAGTTGTCAACGGTTTTATGTGACTGTGAGGCAGTAATGAATAATAGACCGATATCGTATGTCTCTGATTCATCGGAAACAATAACTCCTTTGACACCGGCATTCTTTATTCAAGATATAAAAGAAATTGGAGTTCCTGATTGTGACGTTGTTGACTCTGAAAGTTTGAATAGACGAATACAATATAAAAAAAAGTTGTCCGATCATCTCAAGAAAAGATTTCGCCTAGAGTATTTGGGTGAACTTAGGCACAGAAATTGTGGGAATTCATCAGGAAGACAACTTGATGTTGGGGAGATTGTGCTTATAGGCAATGATGATTCCAAACGAATGGATTGGCCATTGGCTCGAGTTCTGGAGGTATTTCGTGGTAAGGATGGTTTTATTAGGGTTGCTCGTCTTCGTACTCATGCCGGGGAATTATTGAGACCCATTCAGAGAATTTTTCCACTCGAGCTGGGTAAAGAGAACGTTGATATTGCATCACGTGCTGGTAGTTCTAACCAGTCCAATATTCCATTGAAAATATCATCTGATAGTACTCAGAATAAAACTGAAATTGATGATAAACACGATACTTCTCAGAACAAGAAGATTGTGAAAACAAGAAGTGGTCGTGTGGTTAAAACACCATTGAAATATCTAGATTGAAAATGCATTATTACTCGTTGATGAAGTGTTTATCTTATTGCAATTCTATGTTTTGTGTATCATTTTATGTTTGGAATTGCAAGGTGGGAGTAATATTCAGATCATAGTAATCATCTAGTAGAATGTTGTTTTCTATGTGATGTAACTATTTGAAACAGTTGATGAAATTATCATTAGATTTTTGACTTTGATGACTTGTCATATATAAAAATATTCCTCAGATCTTTCGTTGCTGTTCATTGTGAAAAATAAAGGATCTCTTCTTGTGAAAGTGTTAGTCAGTGATTTTTCTACAAATACATTGCGCGTGATAATAATCATAATCTTGTTCGAACAAAAATGGCATTCCTATAGTCTTGAGCAAATTTATCAATTACTTCGATGATAAAATTAACTCTATGTATTCATTAGATGCCTATGAATACAAATCAAATCAAGTCTCAGAAAGTCACTAAGCGCTAATCGGAATAGGAAATGAATAATGCAAATGTATCTTGCTTAGAAAATATCTAAGGACCAGGCGCCCCTTGCCCGCCCTTTCGGACGTCCCTGGGCCTGATAGTTCACGAGATACAGCTTTTTAAAGTTGGTCACAAAAGGATGTCATTTAAAGAGAAGAGAGAGAGACACAAACATGGAGGAATCATATTATTTTGTATTATTTCAAATTGAGTACATTCCAGTTATGTTTACACCTCTAAGAAGGTCCAGGTTTAGGATACTATTCCTGGTCCAGTCCTACCTCTTCAGGGCTCTGAGGATATAGGAACTCTTCATTCAAATCATAGTAGGCCATCGTAGCCTCGTGGTTAATACGTCAATGTTCTATCCACGTTGGATTGCCGGTAGGTGGGTTCGGTTCAAACCAGGACCGCAGAAATTTTTGTGATGGCCTAAGAAAGTGTTTGGGATCACACGTTAGAAGGTAAGACCCCTATATTTCCTTGCTCGCACGAGTCTCTTGAAGACTTCTGAGGGTTGCTCTTTCTTACGAGCAACCCCCCTTGGGCAACCGAATGATGGATAAGAACAATTTTAGAACAACAACAATTGTTATGTAGTAAGTCGACATCAGAGTCGATAAGCTTTGTTCGATTCTCACATCCTCATCTTTGAGGAATTGGAATTTTGAGCCCATGCCAGAATAAATTCATTAGGATCTGGTTTGTATGAAAAAGGAACATATAATCAAAAATAGGTATATTGATAGATATTACACTGATAATTGACTATACAAGGAAACATTTCAAACTGTAATATTCTAATTGTCTATAGTTCATTATGTACAAATTTTTCATCAAGCATCTCATCGTTTTCCTTGAACCATTTTTCATACACCTTGATTGGATCTATCATCCAATGTTTATGGAAAGAAATTGCTTCATGGGTTTCTAGATAACCAGCTGCATAATCATTTGGCCGTGCCTGAAAATCGTAATTTTTTTTCTTATAATTCAAATTGGAAACGTGATAGATAAACAGAAATATATTTGATTTGAATCACAGATATACACATATGAGTATCTAATTAGGGTCAATATTAAAACTGAATCTGTTCATTTGTATTTCAATTTGTCTTGAAAAAAATTATACTGGCACTTGAAGAAATACTATATTTTCCAAAATTATTATCATTCATGCAGCTTAATACAGATGCGTGTGCATTAAGATAGTTAAAAAATGAGAAATTAATAAATCTAATGTATTCATTCCTCAATTCAATCAATTCCAATATAATAGATAATCATACATAAAAGTATAAATAGTAACATTGAATTTATTTTGAAGTAGGTATACAGGGTGATTCATTGGGAAATGCGCATACAGTAAGGGTAGATTGAAGACACCGAATAATCTATATTTCATAGGTCTATCATTCTTCATAACCAAGATACAGGGTGATTCATTTATTTTCCCCATTTTTTCAATAAATCATAACTTATGAACCACCCCATACATTTTTTTATATTTGGTTTGTATGTGGACACAAAAGTCCACAGTGGTGACGATTGACATAATAAAAAGAGTCTCATTCCAGGGCCAGCCTTGAAAAAATTAATGAGTATAGGTTCCTAGTCGTGTAGTCGACACAAAACCCTGTATATCAGTATTTTGAAATTTCATTCACAAATTTGTAAAGAGCAGGAAAAAATAAGTGAGACCGAATGTATTTGGTGTTTTCGCATGCAACTTTTTCACCCTCTGACAATATTAAAAGAAAATAATTTGTCGTCCCCAAATGGCACTTTTGCATTTTCAATCCGTGGAATCATCAACTATTTCTCATTCTCCTAATTTTTTGATCCTAACCTAATTGAAAAACTAGCGGAAAAGTCCGTATTTGAGACAAATTATCATTATCAATGACTAACTTTAAATACCCTGTATGTGTAAGAACCTAGGTAAGAACATTATCATAACATTTGTTTATCGCGTTACATTTGGAACAACAATTATGCTAATAAAGAACAAATGCACATTTCGAAAAAATCATATAACTTTGTTTTAGACAAAAAAAAAGTTGCCACTAATCTACATTCTGAAGGTTAAATACGACTCGAAACCTATACTTATTGATTTTTTCGAGGCCAGCTCTGGAATAAGACTTTTTTATTGTGTCAATCGTCACCACTGTGAACAAAGAACATACGCACCAGAAATCGAAAAAATGTATATTGGTTATGAAGAATGAAAGACTCATTAAATATAGATTATTCAGGAGCACCTTCCACTTCAGTTCAATCTATGTTATGTACCCTGAACTGGTTAGATGTTAAATCATTCATAAAGTTCAATGTTATGGTATTTATCCACAAGATCAACATAAACACATGTCCCCAATATCTGAAAAATATATTAGTAAAATTTAGAACTGTTCATGACTATGATACTAGAGGAGAGGAAAATTTTGTTGTAAAACAAGCAAAGAAAACGCAGACGCAGCGTTCAGTATTCTATGACGGTGTAGTGAAATATAACAAAACTAGAAATCGAATTGAAAAAGAGACCACTGAATATATTTAAGAATAGTGTCAAAGATTTCATCAGAAGTGAACATATGAATGTAATGTAATATAAAATCACTGTGTAGTCACCTATTATATATATTGTTGTTGGAATTTATGGCGAAAGGCTAAATAAATTACTACTACCTCGTTGTCCACCATCTACCCTTACTGTATGAGCATTTCCCAATGAATCTCCGTTTATAATTCTCCAATATCAATATAATCATTAGGTTTTTATAGCATGGAAGCGACCAATGAAGATTCCTTTACTCCCATGAAACATTCGAAAAAGATAATTTGCTTCATCAATACTGCTTCATTATGTCCTTTTGTCCCTAAAAAAAGAATAAATCCCTGGAGGTGGCATCACTGGTCGCATACCTGATGGAAGCCTGGCACGTGCGTAACGGAAACCCCAACCCTGGCCGCGCATGCGCCCAGCAGCATGTCGTCCGGCGAATGGGAAGCGGGGCACCGGCAGACAGCCGCGAGGTCCTTCAAAAGCGGCCTGCTGAACACCATGCCGCCGCCACCTGTGATGTAATCATAGCCGGTTGGCTCTCTAATGTCATAGGCGTACCGCTCGCCCAGAGCTACTTTGTTTTCTGGATCGTAGCAGGAGAGAGTTCGTTGGAGGGCGGATATTCTAAAGGGGAATAGGCGGAGGTTCATTTCAATCAATCAAACATCCATTGAATACGTATTCTTTCACAATGAAAATAAGAAAAAAAATCATAATTAATGTAAAATACTGTTACGAGACTATCTCTCGCGGGATAGGCTCTCGCCCAGACTTGTTTAAGTTCAACCCGAAGATCTCTTGAGGTTATGAAAATACTAGAAATGTCTTAGGTCAGATACAAGTATCCGAAAAAAAGCGAGTGTGAAATAGTAGATTAGTTGAAGGTGTTATATTAGAAAGTGGCGTAATCATTCTGTATCGTGTATTGTGAACTGAAGTGTTTGTTTTTGAATGAATCGTTTTGTTTTCTACTGAGTGTGTGTGAAAGGCTGAAAGGGTTGCTTTTGTTCGGTTCCAACGAAGACAGTTATTATAACTAATAATAAATTCTTTTCAGGAGACCGAACAAACGATTCGTTTCGTTTTTTCTCGATATTTAGAATTTTTGAATCTTGGAACATGAACAACGAGAAAAAAAAAGGAAAATTACTTTACACTAGATATCGCTCTATCGATTTGTTAGGAACGTTCAACCATGAGATGTTACAGGCAACATTTCTCAATATGTTTGTATATTTATTTCCAAACAACATGGCAATTACTTGACAAGGTGCTTCTAGAACTTAAAGGTCGAAAAGCATTTTGGTGGTAGTTTCAGTGATGATAGATATATAGATAGATTTATTTGGCTATTTCACACAAAGGTTCACAGCACGTCGAATTTTTGCACAAGAGAGCAATATGGTATAAAAACAATTATTAATATCAACATATACAACATATGGGGTTTAGAATACAAGTAAATTATTGAATTTAAAACAATTTTTCACCAATAAACAAGAAGGTATACAAACAATCCTTTTTCCAAAAACAACGCAGACTGAAGATGAGAAGAAATTTGTAACAATCATCGGGAATTTAGAAATTCAGACACACTATAAAAACAGTTTCCTATGAGAAGTTTGGAGATTTCTATCATTCAAGGAGCGCAACTCTGAAGTTAACTTATTTTTCCTCCGATTGGCAGCAAATATTAATTTTGCTGACACATAGCAATCAGCAAAGTATTACTTTTCCTGCCTAGGCAGCAAAGTGGGTACTTTGCTGCCTAGACAGCAAAGTGGTTACTTTGCTGATTGATATGTATCAGCAAAATTAAAAATCCATAAATCGTTTATAATTTCCTTCATATTTCATCCGAGACTTCTCCGGCAACAAATTCAACTCTATATTTTTTGCCACCTCCCTTATTGATGGAGGTGTAAGTATACTTCCAGGTCGCTATCACTGTCCATTATATAATAATTTAAATATACCGATATTTTTTCGCACAACAGTCAGAAATTTCATGAATTGTCAAACCAACAACTGCGATTTCTATCAAATTTTATTTTAATTGAACACTATACAGGAAGAATAAAGAGATTGTGGGAATTGTATTAATTCGCAAATACAATATTCTCCCATATCATTATGAACAATCGGAGAAAAAATTATATGTTCAACTCGGCAGCAAAGTAGATTGACTGCCTTAGCTGGATTCCTAGCCTCGCTACGCTCGGCTATGAATTCAGCCACGGCAGTCAATCTACTACTTTGCTGCCTAGTTAAACAAATAACTATTAAAGCATCAAATTAATGGAATTTGATTCCGATTTTGTTAACTTTTAACGGGGTAAGACTATTTGGTTAGCTGATCTCGTTTCATATTCATGGATATCTGAGGAATGAGCATACTCGTTTCTGTTTGAGTGAATTCCACAGATAGTTTGATGAATATAACACACAAGGTAGTGATATTATTTGCATTTCAGTAAATAACGGTCGACAGTGTTCTCTGAAGCCCAAACCAGGAGGCGAATGTCTTTCTTTTGAGATTTGAAAATACTTATGGCATTGCTTGAGTTCCCCCATAAAATATCGCTACGCTCGGCTATGAATTCAGCCACGGCAGTCAATCTACTACTTTGCTGCCTAGTTAAACAAATAACTATTAAAGCTTCAAATTAATGGAATTTGATTCCGATTTTGTTAACTTTTAACGGGGTAAGACTATTTGGTTAGCTGATCTCGTTTCATATTCTGGATATCTGAGAAATGAGTATACTCGTTTCTGTTTGAGTGAATTCCACAGATAGTTTGATAAATATAAACACAAGGTAGTGATATTATTTGCATTTCAGTAAATAACGGTCGACAGTGTTCTCTGAAGCTCAAACCAGGAGGCGAATGGCTTTCTTTTGAGATTTGAAAATACTTATGGCATTGCTTGAGTTCCCCCATAAAATATATTTGTTTCAACACTTCAGGACTCACAACAGATCGCAATCTTCTTATGAGGAACTTTATGTATGATATTGCCAGTTTAGAGAGTTATCAATCGTAATCCCAAGAAGTTTTGTAGTGAGCACCTGATGTGTATTGGGTTTCGCTGGAAATAATCAGCTTTTGCGTTTTTTCACCATTGAGTTGTAAGAAATTGGCAGAGAACCAATTTCTAGCAACGTCAATTGAATTATTAGCTAAGATCGAGAGGCCAATAAAATCTGAAGAAGTATTGATGAGTGACGTATCGTCTGCGAAAAGAATAGTGCTAGTTTCTTTCAACATGTGCTGACAGATATCATTCACATAAATGATGAAAAGTAAAGGTCCGAGGACCGAGCCCTGTGGAACTCCATTAAGTCATGGTTCTGAGTTCCGATGTAGTGTCATTTATTTTGACCAGTTGTATTCTATTTTTCAGATATGAAGACATTAGTTCGATAGGTGTTCCCCTGATCTTGTAATATGATAGCTTTTCCAGGAGATATCATATACCAGAGTGATCTTAATAATTTCTAATGAGGAAAGTGTGGCATTATCGCTATCAAGGCTCAGAATACCAAATGACGCTTTATCACTTGCTCACTTAGTAACATGGATTAGATTACTTTGATTTGCTCTACCTACTTGTGGTTGAAATGAATGAAACTTGTTACCAGCCACAAACTGTCTAGTACATTCTGAAAGTATTCAAAGAATTTACCCGAAAATGGTGTCATCGTCTGCAATAACAATCCATTTAATATCTCTATTCGCCTCAATACGTTCAGCTACATATCTAATTATGGCCAAAGTTTTGGCACAATGGCCATTTTCTGTATTCGGTATTCCCAAGTTTATCGTCGGAATGAAAATATCTGAAAATAAACTTCAATAGTAGTATATATGAGGATTAGCTAGTGAATCGTGGCACCTTCTTTATCACTAAAAAAACTGATGATAGGCGTATGCTTGCCCCAAGTATTTTTCACAACAGGAACACGGTCTTGGTGAAATTTGTGGTAGGTTTTCACAGCGAAATATATCGATGTTAATGGCACCAGAGTATCCTGAAAAGTCACTTATTTATACAGGGTGGCCAAACGAAAACTCAACACCCCAAATTTAGAGCTTTGAAATGAGAATTTGGAGAAACGCTGGAACCCATCCCCGTAAGTTCAACCCCCTAGCAGAAGTAAGCATAACCCCCGAATTTTGAATAGGAATGAGGGGTGTTGCGATACATGATTTTGAAGATTTCATCGAGTACTATACGACCCTCCAAGATAGTTTGAAAAACTGAAACAAAACACGCTTCCATAGATAGCCAAACTTGAGGCCAAACTAAAAAGGAATAGAAAATAAATAGTAGTTTGAAAAACTAAAGAAACACGTTTTTATGGATAGCCAAACTGAAGAGAAGTAGAGAACATCATAATAAAAATGTGTTGAATATTTAAATAAAAACATGTTTTCTAGGAATGTTGTTATGGCAAAACAACGTTTGCCGGGTCAGCTTGTGTAAGTATAGGTAGATTTATTGTAAAATAAAAATGGTATACGCACTATCTGTTATTTATCGCAGTTCATTGTAAACTTTCAACAACATTTCAACCGTGTCAAATCGATTGTTGAATATTCACGATCAATTGAGGCGAATCGAGAAGATAGTGCGTTCACAAACTTTTCAAATAAATTCTTTTCGAATCCTACCCTGATAAGAAATTTCCAGGGTAAATTCGATTTTGCCTCTTCCACTATTTTATCTCTCATTTCGTTATCGATGAAAATTTTGACGCGAAATCATCCCTATACAAAATCTGGGGGTTGTGCTTTCCCCTAGTAGGAATTGAAGTTATGGGGAAGAAAGCAGACAAATCGTTCAAATCAGAAATAGACGGGTCCGAGCGGTTTTCCGAATTTTCATTTTTTAACCCTAAAATCGGGGGGTCAAGTTTTTGTTGGACACCTCGAAAAAAATATGTATGCAAACCTAGAAGACCCAGACAAATCAAGTGCAGCGGAACATTATACGCACATAATGTGTGGTAGTAGAGGGAAAATTAATATACAGGGTGTAGATATCAACTTAAATAAATTCCCTTGAGATGTGAATGATTTTACTGGAAATTTGAGAGACTCGTCTGCGTTATAATATATTTACCTACATGCAATATGAAAGAATATTACCCTGCAGGAGTAGCTTGAAATTATTAGAATCAACTCATCAGCTCATCAAGATCAGAGTTTATGCAAGTATACTTCTCCTATACATTTCAATTTTCATTTCTATACTGAACATATTGGTGAGTTATATTTTTATATCATAATACATCATATTATTCATCAGATATGAGAGATTGTCACTTCTCAATTTCAGAAGATTGCGTTTTCGAATTCTTATCGTGTGTGTTTAATAAATATAATTCAATGTTCGTCGTGGCATATAGCTAGGAAAGAAGTTGTTTTCTGTTGAATAAACCGAGAAAGACTTGATATTTTCATCACATAGAGAATGCGAATTCTCAATGTATTTCTTCATATATATATATATCAATTTTTTCATGTTTATAATTTTATCTGAGAATATTCCTTTTCAATACTTTCACCCAATCAAGGGGTTCAAACTTGAACGATGGAAATTTGTTATTATTTTTATAGACCTTCAATCGCAGATTCGTGATTAGGTTTTCTCAATTCATAATTTGTTTCCACGTCCTGTATGATGAATATCGATTTGTCATACATCCAAAAATATTACTGGTCGTTCTCAAAGGAAAAGTTCTATTTTGAAACTAGGTATACGATGACTGATTTTAGTGTCCGAAGATCAATTTTCATGACAAACACAATACTTTGAAAAAGTTTTCTTTCCAAATATCCACATTTTTCAAAAAATACCTTGTAACTCTGAAACGAAGATAGATATCGATATGCGGTTTTCACCATTAAGTTTATTAGTTGAATTGATCAACAGGCACTGACATCAGTTTTTTTCGATCTAGTACGGGAATAGGACTTTCCCTTATTTAAGAGTGTGCAATGTGACCCACCCTGTACTTATAAACCACGGTACAGGAGACGATTCTCAAATGATGTCTCCTGTCTTCAGTATGAATAGAAATTATAACTATTTGTATATACTTCCTGGGATTTTCTCTCGTTGTTATATTTTAGAACATTCCATTCCATCGACTAACTAATAATTTATTGATCGCGAAAGCTTTGAAGGAGTTTAGCATGAACTATTAATCATATTATTCTCAGTTCCGCGAGATAGGAAGGCACCTACTTACACAGATATGAAAGGGTTTCGGAAACGTGGAGCAATGAGGCTGCAGCTTGCTACATAATGCAGACTCATGCTTTATCAGTGCACCGTTACAGATTTTTTGGGACCATTTTTCCTAGTTTTATTCACAGAAATCTGGAGAAATGAACATTCCATCTCATTGAGGAAGAGACCTACTTACACAGGTTTTTGAAAACGTAGAGCAATGAGGCTGCAGCTTGCTACATAATGCAGACTCATGAAGACATTGGACCGTTAACGTCATTCCAGATGAATAGATTTTTTGAAACCATTTTTTTCTAGTTCCATTCACAGGAATCTAGAGAAATGAACATTCCAACTCATCGACTAACTAATTGATCTCTAAAGCTTTGAAAGAGTTTAGGATGAACTATTAATCATATTATTCTCAGTTCCGCGAGATAGGACGGCAGCCACTAACACAAATATAGAAGGTTTTTGGAGACGTGGAGCAATGAGGCTGCAGCTTGCTACATAATGCAGAATCATGCTTCATCAGTGGACCGTTACCTTCATTCCAGATGAACAGACTTTCTGGGACCATTTTTCCTAGTTTTATTCACAGAAATCTGGAGAAATGAACATTCCATCTCATTGACTAATTGAATTTATTGATCTCGATGACTTTGAAGTAGTTCAGGATGAGCTATTAATCATATTGTTTCCAGTTTCGCTAGATAGGAAGGCATCACGTACCTACACAGATATGAAAGGGTTTCGGGAACGTGGAGCAATAAGACTGCAGCTTGCTACATAATGCAGACTCATGTTTCATCATTGGCCCGTTACCGTCATTTCAGATGAATAGATTTTCTAGAACCATTTTTCCTAGTTGTATTCACAGAAATCTAGAGAAATGAATATTTCATCTCATTGACTCACTAAATTTATTGATCTCGAAAACTTTGAAGGAGTTTAGGATGAACTATCAATCATGGAAACGTGGAGCAATGAGGCTGCAGCTTGGTGCATAATGCAGACTCATGCTTCATCAATGGACAGTTACTTTCTTTCGAGATGAAAATATTTTTTGGGACCATTTTTCCTAGTTTTATCCACAGAAATCTGGACTAACTAATAATTTATTGATCTCGAAAAGTTTCGAGGAGTTTAGGAAGAACTATTAATCATATTATTCTCAGTTTGGCTAGATGCCTTTCTATCTACCTACTTACACATTCGGAAACGTGGAGCAGTGAGGCTGCAGCTTGCTACATAATGCAGAATCATGCTCCAGCATTGAACCATACATGTATAGAAAGTCATATGGTACTATCACTTTCTACTGAAAAGAGTTTCGAAATCTCTCGATATCGCCTACTTTGTAAAAATAGCGAGGCGTGGGAGAATCTTTCTAAATTTCCGAGGTTTCAAACCAAAATTACAGGTATCATGACACATTCTATCGAGTTCACATTTACATTTTCACAATTTTTTATGGAAATGGAAACGGCGCCTTATATTTTCGACTTTCAATGGTGAATCCATGAACGACACGAAATCTCAACTCAAGAAAATCCTGTGACGAAAGTTTATTTACTCACTTTTGGTACATAAAATAAATCGAATGTTAGGATTTTCAGATAATCCATTGAACCGTTACCGTCATTCCAGATGAACAGATTCTTTGGAGCCACAATTCCTAGTTTTGTCCACAGAAATGGACATTCCATCTCATCGACTAAATAATAATTTATTGATTTAGGATGAAATATCAATCATATTGTTTCCAGTTCCGCTAGATAGGAAGGCACTTACTTACACATATATGAAAAGGTTTCGGAAACGTGGAGCAATGAGGATGCAGCTTGCTACATAATGGTGACTCATGCTTCATCATTGAACCGTTACCGTCATTCCAGATGAATAGATTTTTTGGGAATTTTTTTTCCTAGTTTCATTCACAGAAATCGAGAGAAATGAACATTCCATCTCATCGACTAACTAATAATTTCCGCTTTATAGGAAGGCACCTACTTACACAGAGATGAGAAGGTTTCGGAAACGTGGAGCAATGAGGCTGCAGCTTGCTACATAATGCAGACTCATGCTTTATCATTGGACCGTTACCGTCATTCCAGATGAACATTGCTAGCTCATGGGCAATGTCGATGCTGAAGTTGGACACTTCTATTGTGTTCTCTTCCCAATGTTTGGCAATTCTAAAAAAAAATCCCACCGTAGAATGATTGTCATGGCGTCATGATAATATTTTGACCGTTTCACTCATCACGTAATCTGACCAATCACAAGCTGTCTTTCAATTCTGATTCGTCTATCAGCGTTGATGTAACCATGGATAGCGAAGCAAAGACTGTCAGTTCGGCATGAAATAATTATGGCTGTACTTGTTGTAGTGTTGAATGAATCACTCATTTGTAATGAATGCTTTTTATGCATCGTGAAAGTGAAATAGTCTAGCGAAATACCACTCTGTTCTGATATCTCCTCATAATTCTGTCTTTCAATGTTAACTCAATTGTGTCGCACAGAATTCAGAACAGCATGATATTAATAATGAAAATTACACACCTAACATCTTCAGCAAATTAAATAGCAAATTATTATCCCAATAAACTTTCTGTGAGAAAATCGAATTGTAGAATTGTTTGAACCTTTTGAAGTTTTTTCGATCATATTTACCATATTGCTTTCTCCCTAGGGTATGTAAATCAATGTGTATATTTCCCTTTTTTTATCTCACCCCAACCTCTTTTGTGTGAAGAAAAATCCCTTCCACGTTATGTAAGACGATGTGACTGTTTCCCAATGTATGAGATTTTTCAATCATATTATTCTAATTTCTCACCTCCCAGAGGCTATCGAGGCTATCACCTCTAAAGCGTTGTCGATCAAATTTCGCACAACCTGAACACACAGATTGTCTGCCCAATTGTTACACATGGGGCAGGTGAATGGCAACATAGCAAGATACAATTTTGCCAAATACCATATTTTCTTAACACATAATGATACTTTATGATTTCTATGATATGACTTTATGAGTTTTACCTATTGAGAAGAGGTGTGCTTATGGCAAAACCAGAAGCTAAATTGGGGTATCTGAAAAATGTCGGATCTTCATGAAATGCAAAATGGTGGATTATAGTTGATTCTTGATCGTAAAGTGCATTGCCAAACCAGGTTTCCTAAAAAGGGAAATGGGCACTAGAATTATAGAGTTTCTGTAGGTATTCCTAATCAGTTATCATGAATTTAATATCAGTTCCTAGTGTGTCATATCAGGCTGAATCATAAAAACTGTTAAATCGATTGGCAGATTGGAGGAATGAGTCATTACTTTGAAATACTCACTTGAGCTTGAACTTGTTCACTGTTGCAACCTGTTCTTTTCTTAGAGTTATGAATATTTTTTAGATAAATCTCAAAACACGCCAATCCAATGCAACCTATATACGGTATGACTTATGTATTGTGTGTATATCAGTACATTGTAACGGTTTTTTTTATGTTCTGGTTTCCACGGAAAATGATATTCTGTAATGTTCAGAGAACATCGTGAGAACCAAGGGAAATGAGGTAGAAATTAGTGTTCTTCTTGAATTTCTGTAGGTTATATGCCTCGGGGAACATTTCCCTTGGCAATGTGTTCCAGAGCCTCGCTGGTCGTTGGATGAACAAGTCTTTGGAAAGAGATGTTCTGCAGATCTCCAAAGTGACCACGAAAGGGTGCGAAGCCTGCTCAACTCGACGGGTTATTCTCGCGGGGACTGCCAAGGGAGCAACAATTGTTGATATTCCAGAAGTGCATCGTCCATGAAAATATCTATGAAATAGAGCCAGATCGCCAACTTTTCTACGGTGTTCTAGAGAAGTGAGTGAGTTCGTGAGCGAGGCATCACCCTCGAGACGAATTGACCTTTTTTGGACAGAATCCAACAGTTTCAGGGTATGTTTGGGTGCTGCACTCCAAATATGAAAACAATATTATAGGTCGTATCTGTGCCTTATAGATCATAAGCAGCTGACTGCAAGTGAATTAGCTCCTGGCCCGAAACAGAAAACCAAGTTTTTGGGATGCACTTTTAGCAATTGATATCACGTGATTTTCCCAAAAAAGGTTATTGCTGATAGTAATAGCAAGCATCGGAATGGAAGTCTTCAAAGGTATGGTTACTCCTGACAAGCTTATGTCGGGCACAGTGAGCGGCTTTTCTAGAGAAAAGGCATGCTTGTGTTTTGCTTGCATTGAAATCTACCAAGTTATTGGATCCCCATTCTAGAATTGTTGCCAAGTCCATATTTATGTTGTCAACATTTCTCCCTCGTTCGTTTCTGATTTGCCTGGCTTGTATTGGAGGCCTGGAAGAGAAGGCGGTATAGAGGGTACTATCATCCGCGAAGCTAGGTACTGGAGATGAAGTTGCTTTCAACAAATCTTTAATATGGAGAAGAAATAGTGTTCGTGCTAGAATTGATCCTTGCGGAACACCAGCATTTATGATAAGAGAGTCAGATGAAATTCCGTCGACCACTACATGGAGAGACCTGTTTGAGAGAAAAATAGCTAGCAGAGAACATACCTGGGGAGGCAAGCCATAAGATGGAAGCTTGGCGAGGAGTCCGTGGTGCCAGACTCGATCGAATGCCTTGGAGATATCAAGTGAGTCGGAGGTTTCACCATATTTTTCAATAGATTGCTGCCATATTATGTGAGACGTAAGCGAACAGGTCACCAGTCGATCTCTGATGACGGAAGCCATATTGCCTATCGTTGATGATACCTGAATGTTCCAGGTATTTTATGAGCTCGATGTTGATAGCTTTCTCAATGATCTTAGAAATCATAGATAGCAGTGCGATCGGTCTGTAGCTGCTAGGTAGGACTTTTTAGCCTTTTTTTAGGAACTGCATGGTTGTACGCAATTTTCCAGTTGGACGGGAATATCCCCAATTTGTAAGTGTAGTCGAACAACTTGCAGAGAAGATGATTCTTATCTATATGTGAAATGTGGATATATTTTCATTGATTATTAATAAATATGCCACTATTTGTGGTTTTCCGTATACAAGTAATCTAGATCTAGCGATTGGTGACTATTTTGAAAATGAATGACTGCAGAAAATAACGTTAACATACGAGATGATCAATAGATATGTGTCCCAAACTCGACTGTGTGTACAACCCAATCGAATATTTGGATTCAACTATAGCTCCAACAGTTTTTATGAATCAGCCGGTTCAGTATATTTACCTCTTCGGGATCATGATTTTCGAAAATATTCAAAAGGGTATTTAAATTGATTTTGGTGTAGTCCTGTAGAAAAAATATCCAGCTAGCGTTATCTTTATGCAAGTTAGATAAATCTGGAATTATCGGTAGAATTGTCCATGTTGCGAAATGTGTGAAATCAATATGTGATAGATGTACTATAGGTGTCTCCTGAAACATACAATGATTTTAAAAAGATTTTCAGGTGTACCTTTTACAATGAAACACCTCCGGATCTTTAATGGGAAAGACCACTGAGAGAAGAAATCCGTGCAAACCTCTTTCAATCGACGAATCATGATTGACGTTTGATGTACAATCAATATTATGAGTTGAAGTTGAAGGGAATCGAATCTATATCGTTTTGAAATCAGCATATTTCATTCGATATTTCAAACAGCCAAATATGATGGTGGAGTCGTGACGTATTAGTCCCTAACTGTAGCTATCTCTCTCTGATACCTCGTCATTCTGCAGTGTTGCAGTGTGATTGGTCAGTTCAAGGACGATAGGCGTGTTGGGAATAAGACGTCGCACCAGTCACACCAATGAATTGACAACATTTCAAATGGCGCAGGAATTGTGTGTTTTGAAATGGACATATTCAAATTTATTATTTTCATAGTCTTAGCATGAATAACAAAATTCGAAATAAATTCGCTGGTAGGTTTTCAGTATAGAGTTCACGATAATGTCATTTTAAAAAATCAGTGGTCTCCCCCATTATCAGTTCTGAATATATTGAAAAATATTCATGATAATATGAATTAATACTATTATATAATGATTCATATGCTAAACCTGATCCTTGATCACTTAACTATACAGTGAACTATACGAAAAAGGTCCTTCATCTTTGTACATACCTCTATTGCTATGAATGAGAGGATCTAGTTCTTATCTGCTCCTAGATAGATATTTATATTTTGAGTAAAAATGAAGATTGCTGTCATTCTCCTGACGTTTGTAGGTTTAACATTTGTGATGGATCACGCAAATCCATGAAATTACATTATTTCTCAATCAAGAAACTTCATTATTAGGTACTAATACACTTTTGGCTGCTTTGGTATAAAACCCGAATTGCAGAAAGAATGTAATTCGGTGGAATCACCTGACTTCTAAACTCCATTAAGGACTATAATTTATTCAGTGCCTTCGTGAGAGCAAGACATTCACTTTCATCACCAATTCCAAGGAGATACAGATTCAATAACGATAAAATAATGAAATGAATTTTATGTTCCGGTATAGTGCCATTTCAATGTTATTGTGTTGTTATTTGATGACTTACCCCAAATAATGTTTGAGATTGGGAAATTATATCCTTCCTCAAATTTTCTGCCAATTTTGAATGGTAATTATTTTCTTGACTAAGTACAATGAAAACAATGCGTTGTATATCTGAAACAAATTAAAACAAGTTAGGGTCAGTCAAATTTAATATCCTTCAAGAAAATTGAAATTCATCCATGATTTTCCAGCATAGTATGAGGAAAATCATTGAATGTGAAAACTTCACAAACTCACAAACGATAAGATTTCCACGAAATGCTCAAACACACGACATGTTTCGCTAACACAGTAGCTTCGTCAGGTACAATGAACTAGTACCAGAGTGTCGAATTTCGATCCTTTCAATGAGACTGTGGCTTTATTTTTAATTTTGAAACAATAGAACCATTCAGAAAATGTTTGAAAAATAATAAAATCAAACACTACTTTCCTGACTAATGCCACGCAGTACATTGAATTACATCCTCCCGGAATCTATGTGTCGATTCATATAAACGAATACTGATGCAATGAGACAGATTCGATCATCGAAGGATGCTCATAATGCCAAAATATAACTTGTTGAATATCCTAACGGATCTCATTCATTTTGGTCCTTCGCCAAAGCTGTAGGTAGAAACTTCACTTCCAGCTCGTTTCCTCCTCTAACCAAGGAAGATGGAACACTAGCCACAACCTCTCAAGAGAAAGCCAACAATTTTGCGCATTTATTTGCTGGAAATTTCACTCTGGATTCATCGGGAAAACAACCTCCAAACATAACGCCAATTGACAGTCATATGCCCGAGATTACCTTTCGCCAACGTACTATAAGGAAGATTTTATTGGGTCTCAACACCAACAAAGCTTATGGCTCCTACGGAATCCCACCGATTGTTCTCAAGAAATGTGCTCCTGAACTAACACCTGTTCTCTGCAGAGTCTTCAACTACTCTTACAAATTGGGGATATTCCCGTCCAACTGGAAGATTGCAAGAGTACAACCAGTTCCTGAAAAAGGCAAAAAGACCTTACCTAGCAACTACAGACCGATCGCACTGCTATCTATTATTTCAAAGATCAATGAGAAAGCTATCAATATCGAGCTCATGAAATACCTGGAACATTCAGGTATTATCAACGATAGGCAATATGGCTTCCGTCATCAGAGATCAACTGGTGACCTACTCGCTTACGTCTCACATATATTGCAGCAATCTATTGAAAAATATGGTGGAACCTTAGCCGTGGCACTTGATATCTTCAAGTCATTCGATCGAGTCTGACACCACGGACTCCTCGCCAAGCTTCTATCTTATGGCTTGCCTTCCCAGCTATGTTCTCTGCTAGCTAGTTTTCTCTCGAACAGGTCTCTCCATGTAGTGGTCAACAAAGTTTCATCTGACTATCTTATCATGAATGCTGGTGTTCCGCAAGGATCAATTCTAGCACCAACACTATTTCTACTCCATATCAACGATTGGTTGAAAGCAACTTCATGTCCAGCTTCGCGAATGATAGTACCCTCCATAACGCCTTCTCTTCCAGGGCTCCAATACCAGCCAGGCAAATCAGAAACGAACGAGGGAGAAATGTTGACAACATAAATATGGACTTGGCAACAATTCCCGAATGGGGATCCAATAACTTGGTAGATTTCAATGCAAACAAAACACGAGTATGCCTTTCCTCTAGAAAAGCCGATCTCACTCTGCCCAACATAAGCTTGTCAGGGGTAACCATACCTTTGAAGACATCCATTTCGATGCTTGGTATCACTATCAGAAATAACCTTTCTTGAAAAAATCACGTGAGATCAATTGCTAAAAGTGCATCCCAAAAACTTGGTTTTCTGTTTCGGGCCAAGAGCTATTTCACTTCCAGTCAGCTGCTTATGATCTATAAGTCACATATCCGACCATTCCTGGAATACTGTTCCCATATTTGGAGTGCAGCACCCAAACATACTCTGAAACTGTTGGATTCTGTTCAAAAAAGGGCAATTCGTCTCGTGGGTGATGCCTCGCTCACAAATTGTATTGTATTTCGAAACTTGTGCGATATCGGGAAATGCGGGACCTATAGCGTGTTTCGAACCACTCCTAGTGCGCCGAGATGATGCCATGATTCTATACAATCAAGAATGACTTTTTTCGAGAAAACTGGCATCATAAACATGTCTAGCGAATTTGAGCCCTTTAGACCGCTCGGATCACGTTTCATTATGAAAGTTTGCAGATATATTCAGGATGAAATCATCAGGGCCTTCTTTCATATACAGCAGTAGGTATCTATATCTCTTAGTAGCCCACCCTGTGAAAAACAGTTTCATGAGGTTTATGTCAGTCGATATCCACAAAAGACAAAAGTATCGAAATCCCGTGTTATTCCGAAACCCACATAAAAAAGATATAAACCATTTTCAGACCTTTCCACATATTGTACACCGTTCACTTTTCGTAATTTTCGTATAGGAAAACGCTTATAGCAGTTGGCCATGACGTTCGACAGGTCACGTTCTTCTATTGTCATATTGCGATTTTATCGAAACTGGAATTTTCGAACTTGAGATCGGTATGACACTTAGATTTATCACGGCTCTTGCCTCATTCATATGGACTGCTAGTAGTAAACGCAGAAATTCGCCAGATGAGAAAGATGAGAAATATTCGTGCGCTTGTAATGATAGTTTCAAAATTCGAACATCTCTATTTCAAAAACAATTCCAATACCTACCTCCTGTCCCTATCCTCCCTAGGAACGCACGATGTTCTTTGAACATCATAGGTATTTCCTTTCGTGCGCTCCAAGCGATAAAAGAAAATTGCTGATGACCTCTCAGTAGTGGCTCATGGTAGCTGTATCAGCAGCCTCAGCCAGAATTCAACTAATTACGTGAGAGCTTCCAATGACTACAGTATGAAATATCACCTAGTACTGAACAATTTGAAAACTGACCTTTTACAGTTTTCTGCCTCAAAATTGAACTACAGTTTATTAGTCAGATCTCAAAATTCTACAGTTTGTCAATCAAATGTTGTCAGATTTCTTGGAGTACATATGGATTCACATTTAAATTGGTCAATTTGTAGACCGAAATATTCTACTCATGTATTACCATTCATATATCAACTATTGTCTTCCACTCATTCAAAAAAAAATTCAAATCCAATATCATATATTTTTTCGTACAGTTTCTGCTCATATTGACAATGATGCAATCTCTCTTCAAATATACAGGGTATACATTTATTTAAATGGAATTCGCAGTATATTTTGATAGACTTAAAATCGTCAATTCATCCAAATATATGATATTAGGGAATCAGACCTATCTGAATATTGCGCTATATATCCCATTTGAGAAAGAGAAGAAGACATTTCTGTTTACCCCGTATATTTGAAGAGATATTGCACCACTGTCACAATGATTGGAACCCGTATGAAAAATAAGTGTATAAAATTAGTTCTGAAACTTTTCTGATGGGAGGAAAACAAAAAAGATAAAGAGAGCTAGGTGCGTTCACATTAATGAAACTATAGCCCTGTACCTATCATTGTATTCGTGCGGTATAAGTGAATTGGTTGTTGAGGAACAATTATGTCATTGTATCATATTTTTGTTGCCTCAGTAAACTATCTGATAGTAGCAATGATCTCGAATGAAGTGATGTGTGGATCTTCCAATCATTTTCAGTATTGCCAGATAATTTCATGATTTCTGGATGCAAAATTTCAGTCAAAGCGACAATGAAATGGAATTTCATCGGGAACTTATGAAAATAATATGAATAGACGACAACTACATTCTTTCCGAGCTCAGTTTATATAGGCATGCAGGATTGGCTTAGAGAGAGGACAATTTTTGATTTATTAGAGTAGGGCCACCGGAGCCGAATTAGAACAATGGCAGAGACTGCGCCCCTGAAGGCACTGAAGCATTTTACAAATTCAATATCGACAATTTGTTCAATCGAGTCACGTCTATCGATGATCCGGAAACTAGCCCTAGGTGGGTAGGTGTAGATAAGACAGACTCAGAATATCTAACAGGCTGACTCAATTGTCTGAAGGGCATTCGTTTTCGTTAACCAGTCGGTTCTTTCTCACCTGTATTATTTCTCAAAGAGAGAAAAACTCAATAATTACCACAATAGCTCATAAAATGAACGGGAATGGTAGATGAGGAAAAAAACAACTATTTTCCTGGCAATACGTCACGCAGAAAATTGGATTACATCCTCCCGAAATCTATGCAATAATTCGTATAGACGAATGAAATGGTAAGTGATTTCTTCCTAAACGATCGGGGTGCGCCTAAGTGGTTCAGGAACTAGTGATTACCTGCAGGCCAGTTTCGAGATTTTGGCTCTCATCAGGGCAGGGCTGTCCCAGATAGCATTCTTGACCGCTATCTGGTGCGAACCTGACCCAAAGTATACGCATCTCAGCATTTATACCCCACAACGTCCGCGAAATGAACGCGAACGCCACCTGGCATGGAAAGAAACACTCCAAAACGTTGCCCAACTGGCATATTTTCAACTCGGAAAAAGCTTTTTACTTTCCAATAAAAAGAAGATAACAACCAGAAGAGAAAAATCAAGGAATCTGTTTGCATTCTTCTGAACGGAGACAATAGCATTGCTTCTTGTTCAGTTGATATAGACAGAACATGGTATTCACTACTGACATCTGAAAATAAAAATGGTAAATCCGAGATTAATTAATGAAAACATCCTGTAGCTCATTTGATTGCCAACGTCACCAATTGTCACTGAGAACTGAAAAGTTTCAAGACAGATACAAATTTGCCATTCAAATAACCATTTTTCATGTTGAAAACGGGAGCAGATTCGGTCCCGAAACGTCCAAAGATAAGTGAACATTTGATATTTTTTCTATATATACCTCTATTTTTCTCCTCCAAAACTTTTTCAATACAAATTGTCACTGACAAGCTAGTGAATTTTTCTTTTAGGCTCTCTGATTGGAAAATTCTTTAAACGCAGGGACATTTTGGGGCAAATCATCTGATTTGTCCTTACTATATGTATATTGAAATTAAATTTATATTTTTATTTTATAGAAACGAAAAGAGGGAATCCCAAAAAAATTTGGATAATGAA